GTGAACAGGACAGTGAGGTGGTGAACAGGACAGTGAGGGGTGGTGAACAGGACAGTGAGGGTGGTGAACAGGATGAGTGAGGTGGTGAACAGGACAGTGAGGTGGTGAACAGGACAGTGAGGGGTGGTGAACAGGACAGTGAGGGTTGGTGAACAGGACAGTGAGGGGTGGTGAACAGGACAGTGAGGGGTGGTGAACAGGACAGTGAGGGGTGGTGAACAGGACAGTGAGGGGTGGTGAACAGGACAGTGAGGGTGGTGAACAGGACAGTGGGGGTGGTGAACAGGACAGTGAGGGTGGTGAACAGGACAGTGGGGGTGGTGAACAGGACAGTGGGGGGTAGACAGGACAGTGGGGGTGGTGAACAGGACAGTGGGGGTGGTGAACAGGACAGTGAGGGTGGTGGACAGGACGGTGAGGGTGGTGAACAGGACAGTGGGGGGTGGTGAACAGGGAAGTGGGGGTGGTGAAACCACAGTGAGGGGTGGTGAACAGGATAGTGAGGGTGGTGAACAGGACAGTGAGGGGTGGTGAACAGGACAGTGAGGGTGGTGAACAGGACAGTGAGGATGGTGAACAGGACAGTGAGGGTGGTGAACAGGACAGTGAGGGGTGGTGAACAGGACAGTGAGGTGGTGAACAGGACAGTGAGGGTGGTGAACAGGACAGTGGGGTGGTGAACAGGACAGTGAGGGTGAGAACCGGGCAGTGAGGGTGGTGGACCGGGCAGTGAGGTGGTGAACCGGGCAGTGAGGGTGGTGAACAGGACAGTGAGGGGTGGTGAACAGGACGGTGAGGTGTGGTAAACCAGGACAGTGAGGGTGGTGAACAGGACAGTGAGGTGGTGAACCGGACAGTGAGGATGGTGAACCGGGCAGTGAGGTGGTGAACAGGACAGTGAGGTGGTGAACCAGGCAGTGAGGTGGTGAACCGGGCAGTGAGGGGTGGTGAACCGGGCAGTGAGGTGGTGAACCGGGCAGTGAGGTGGTGAACCGGGCAGTGAGGGGTGGTGAACCGGGCAGTGAGGTGGTGAACCGGGCAGTGAGGTGGTGAACAAGACAGTGAGGTGTGGTGAACAGGACAGTGGGGTGGTGAACCGGACGAGTAGGGGGTGGTGAACCGGGCAGTGGTGTGAACCGGGCAGTGAGGGGTGGTGAACCGGGCAGTGAGGGGTGGTGAACCGGGCAGTGGAAGGTGGTGAACAGGGCAGTGGAAGGTGGTGAACAGGGCAGTGGAGGGTGGTGAACAGGGCAGTGGAGGGTGGATGATTGTCAACTGTTATTCCTTAACACACATGTTGTTTAATAATGTCTTATTTCACCTCTAACATGACAGTCTTTTTCTGTTTCTTGATAGAACCCTACCAAACATTGCATAATTTTATTTTGTACTAATTTTAATAAGACAATTTATCTGTCCAAAAAAGATCTGGGTTAATAAATAAATTATTTTTTATTCTACTTTGATGATTAAAATTTCAAAATAAAAAACACTGTGTAAAATTCTAAAGACAAGTTGGTGTGTAGATGACCATCCAAGTGTTCGCTCTAACTAAAATATAATAACATGGGTAACTGTTTATTCAATAGAAATTTTATGCCATGTGATTTTTTTTTTTTGGGGGGGGAGGGGGGCACACCCCTACATCCTTGCGTGAGGTGAAGCATAGAAGCGTTTACAGCGCCCAACAGGGAAGCATGCTAAGTTCATGCTTGCCTTTATGTCTCATGAGTTAAGGGCGTAGAAGCCTGAAGAGTCAAGGGCGTAGAAGCCTGAAGAGTCAGTGGTTTATGTCATCAAGTTATACGAAGCTCCAACAACTCCCTGAATACGAATTTGCAACTTTCGACTTACAACAGGTTCCTACTTTACTGCTAGGTGAACAGGGACTAATGGGAGCTAGGAAGTAAGTCCAAACAACTTCCACCAGCCCAGGAATCGAACTCGTGACATCTTGCTTGCGAGGCAAGAACGGTACCGCTTCTACCACCGGTCCCCCTATGCCATGTGATGAGAAAATTAATCCCCCTCATGGTTAATTTAAAATCCCTGCCCTCAGTGGCTGCCCTGTGCTTCCACACCCTGGTACAGTGCTGTATCAATAAATAAAGTGCTAAACTTGTACAATACGTCCCAGATAAGAAGAATTAGGATACTATATATACAGGTACAGCAGTGTTTCCACCAAGGAGGAGTAAGATGGGGATCAAAACCCCCCTAATATGACTTCAAGGGAGAAACCTATTCAAACTTGCTAAGTGAGGTTTAAATGTTATATGTATTTTACCAAATGATACTGTTGAAGCAATAAGAAATTTGCATTTAGTTATCACCCAAATTGAGCTAACACAAACTCATGATGTTATTTTAAAAAGTAAAGCACTGTACTGTACTGAACTTTTGCTGATATCATTCAGAATGTTCTAATAAGAGCTCATCTGCTAACTACATATGTAATTAAAAGATCAAGTTAACCATTAAACATTATCCACAGTGGCAATGTCTTATGGGCTGAGTCACTGATACACACAGATTCACCTACATGTCTTTATTCTTCATCACTACCAGTGTTGCAAAATTTAAAAATTGCCACACCGAAGAATGGGGTGTAAGCTTTAAATATTCAGCAACTGATTTTTTGCATTCATTTAACAATTACAGTACAGTACAATCTAGGTGAACGGGCATAGCCTATATAGTATGCCATCTCTACTCCCTTTACTTTCAACATTAGATGAGCTGAGAAGGAATCCAGTAGAGTACCATTTGGAATACTGTATTTTGCCAGCCCCCCCCCTTTAACAACAACAGTATGGTATATCTGAAGAAAGGAACAATTCAAAACTTGAACAATGCTAAGTGACAGTTCAAACCATCAAGTTAATTACCAGACCAACAACAATCACCTTGTCCAAGAAAAGATTAAATGCAATCAAAAAACCTTTGACAAGACCAGAACTGTATATAATACAGTAATAAGTATCAAAACTCACGAAACTGTAAGAACAATTATTAACCCTGAAAGTACTGTCCATAGGGCTCGACTTTAAAGGTGTTGACTGTCTGGTCAACAGTAGGGATATGAAGTGGATTATGATCTCCCCACTTGATCTGATGGGTAGGTTACAAGGCACTGATCATTTTCACTAAAACACTGTCCATTAAAACACTGTTCCCAGCTGTCAAACACTGCACACCTGTTGGGCACTGACAAACTTTACCCAGGAGATGCTTTGCATTAGTTTTAGACAGTAATCACAACTCACCATCTCAAGTTTTAATTGCATATATTGTAGGATTAAATTTTTAAACTCATTTACAGCAAATATTTATATTATAAACATTTATGTTGGAAAAATCTGAAGGAAAAAATTAACTAATGAATAAAAAACAAATTCCTTCCTGGAGTAAGTTAGTTTACTGTATACACATTCCCTTGCTCTGCTCAGGCATGGACTATGATGGTTTATTTTATTATCAAATGGGAGTCACATTTACACTGGATACCACCTGTGGCCAACACTAGAGCTCTCACAAAATTAAAAAATGCACCCAGCAAAGCACCATTTGAAATCCAGTGCATCCCTGGGTAAGCGAGTACAGTACCAGATACACACACCCACACCACCCCCAGCATAATTGTGGTGTTTAATGTAAAATACTGTATAAATAAAAGATTTGAAACCAAATAATTAACCAAGTACCAGGACTGTATGTAATCAAACAGGTTAGTGACCGAACAAGCTGAAGTTGTAAGAATGTACCTTACTGGTTGACTTTAATGAAATCACAAAATTTACATTGGAAAAAATCAAAATTACAATAAGACTCCCTTAACTAGATACTGTACTGTACATTCACTATAAAAAATTATAGGAAATAAAATGAAAATTTTGGTACAATCTTACTTATGGTATTTAGTCACTAGAAAAGCACATCATAAGACCCTTTCAAAATCTGGGCCCTGGGTTGACATATGAAGAGCACCACTAATAATGTGCCTTCGTACATTCTTTTTTTAACTTCGGGGTTTTCATAAGTAGTAGAGCTACCAAACAGGGATGTACAGTACAACTGCCTGGGAGATATTGGAAGCATAACATGTTGTCTAATGGTAGACCCTGCTGCCATATGGCATCACAAAAATTGTGACTAATTCCCAGGTTGCTGATCTGACTTTCTGCCTCATTTACACACAATTGCAGCATCTCAATTGTTTATCTTTCTTTGACAACGCAACATATAGTATATCGTTTCTCACTTTTGATTTGCATTTATTTATTTTTTTCCATTTCAGTATTTATTTATTTTCGTCCACAAGGCCCCAATGTGGGTTGGTGACCTGTGCCTGGGTGGGCTAATCCCCCGCCCTCTGCCTCGAACCAGCCCCATCCATGTGCGACCCATCTCTTCTACTAACGTAAGTGTTAAACACTTCACCCCACCAGGATTGAACCCACGATCTTATAATTGTGACCGGAGAACGCTACCTCTGGGCCACCAGGACACTAAAAGCAGTCCTACACTCTGTTATATTTCACACAAAGCCTGTTCAATGAGCTTTGGCGCCGTGAACCTCTAATGGGAACCACCAGTGCATGGATGGATGAATACATGTACAGTAGTACACATAAGTGAGTGTACAAATACATGTATCTCTCCATTCCTGTCTACAGTAGTTTGAATCTCAGTAAGTTTTTCAATTTTCATAATAAAAATTAGAACAGTGACCAAAGCTCAAATGTAAATCTGAGAAACATTACGGCTAAAGTCTTATAGATGGAGATGTACAAAAACATAAAAAGATGCTTTATGTAAAAATTTCTTGATGGCACATAAATATCAAAAGGAGGGATGTTAGATCAGTGTCATAATGTTAGGTTAATATATATATGGTATAAAGGCATCTTGTTTCTAAATTTGAAGTAAAGGTTGAGGCAATCCTGAGATATCATCCAGGAAATTTATCTTAAATAACACTACTTTCCAGGTATACTTACATTTTTTTCATCTTCTTCACCCTCTGGGGAGGGTCTTTGATTTTCTTTGTTGTCTCCTGATCGTTTTCTTGGTGGTACAGGAGGTGGGGGATCATCAGATGAAGGCGTTGAGGCAGATGACACAGTTGTTGTAGCAGATACTGACACGGAGTCACCATCTTCAGAAGTAGAAGAAACGGATGATATTTGGTGAACAGGAAGAGTTTTTGGACGGGATGCTGATAAAGTTGCCAAGGGTGGAGGGTTGTTATACCCTACATATGGAGAGGGTTGTGGGCCTGAGGATCCCCCATATGAGGATAAACCACTTGATGAAGTTGACATAGAAGTAGAAGGGCGGATCTGCGGTGCTGGAGGGATGCCTAGATCAGCAGGCTCATCATAAGGATATCTGACCTCATTGAAATGTGGTTCAGATTGAGAGGGAAACCTTGTTTCACTTACAGGAGGGTAACGTGCTTCTCCCGGCGGGTACACAGGAGGTTCCCCTGCATACCTTGGCTCACCAGTTCCTTGATGACGTCCATTAAAATGTTGAGGCGGAGGATCATATCTTCTGTCGCCATATTTTGGGTCCTCTGGAGATGAATAGCCCTGGTGTGTTGGAGCTGCCACTGGAGGAGGTCTATAAGGAGGAGGAGCCCGGTAAGGAGGAGTTGCTCTAGAAGGAATTGGAGGTGCAGGTAGTGTCATGGGGCTGCAGGGTTGAGGGCTGTAAGCTGCACTGTGTTGCGGTGAACCATAAATATTGAACTGGTTGGGACTGCTAAAGTGGGATGGTGAAGGTGAACTGTTGGGGCTAAGGTATTCAGATTCAGAAAGTGGAGTGCCTACTCTGTATTTCCGTTTGAGAACTAAATACTTTTCTCCTCCCTCTTGGCTGATATTAGCAAGTGTGTTGACATATTGCTTAAACTTGTTCCTGGCAATTTCTGAAAAAAGAGAAGATACAGCAAACTTAGTCCATACAGCACACCATAACAAAATATATGATAATAATCTTCATAAAGAAAATCAATAATTAAAAAAAAAAAAGCTCCAAACTACACTTTGCACTCCACAAATCTGAAATGCTTGGGACCAGATCCATTATAGATAACTGAAATTTTCACTTAACTGAATGTCATTATAAAAAATCCTCTAAACACCAAACAAATTACTGTATGATAATTCTAAACTAATATATAACATCTATAACTGAATTGAACTCGGTAACATAATATATAAGGTTAATAATAATACAAAAGCAAGTACAGTACTGTAAAGTTATTTATGTACTGCACCAACAATTGAAGTTTTAAGAGTGTAAGGCTGTGTTGGCAACTTACATTTTTTCTTACAGATTTTTCAGATCATTTTAAGTTTTCAGAAAACTGAGAGTTCGAATTTTTTAAGTGCAACCTTTACTATACTGTACTGTAATTTAACGTTTTTAATGTACAAGTATTTAAATTTTTATCAAGAAGTATAAGTACAGTATTAATTTCATTATTTGTTCATTACATATTCATGTACTATACATGTACCATATTCAGAAATTATTATCCAAACATTTTATCATGCAAAATTCTTCTTGAGTTGTCCACAACATACCTAACTTGTTTATGTTAGAGTATCTAATTAAAACTGCAAAACACATTTTAAAAGTTTCTATGTCCAAAACGTTTTCAGTCAGAAATGCACCCCACCCCCCCCCATTAAATTTTTTCCCACCACAGTCAACCGATTTGGCAGTTGTTCTATCCCGTGGTAGTAAAAGGAGGAAACCAGGCCAGGAAACCCATGCTATTGGTGGGATCACAATGTGTGTCTGGGCCAAGTAGGACTCGAACCCTTGACATATTGGCGAGAGATACTGTATGCACTTCACTGCTGTCCCACTAACAGCCTTTTTAGTAATGTGAAACCGAGGATCCTGTTTTTAGAGCAATACAGTATTAGTACAGGTACACGTAATATACTAATCATCTAGCAAGCTTGAGACCGGAAACAAACAGGATTTGGGAGGATGTAGTCCTCACACAACCCCAAAATGAAATGTATAGGGCCTATAGGTTTTTATTACTAAATACGTACATGGCAATAAAGTTGAATTTATGTTAAGTCATTGAATTAGATACTATATCTAGATATCGCAAGGGTTGAGTTTAACTGTTCATGAACACCCCCAAAAGCTTCTCAGAGGGCCTCTTAGCAGAGGAAAGGACACTGACACATTGTGAATATAAATATTGTATAAATATAATTTCCCTTAAAAAACTTCATTAGCACTGTATACTGTATATGCTTTCTCATGCATCTTTGTTACCGAAAAGACCATTTGTAATCACCTGGTATTCATGAACAGTCAGCCACAGGAATAAGTAGTATACACACTGTACTGTAAGGTCCGAAAATGGTCTGGTAACGTTGAAACTGCACATCCAGACGCATGATGAAACTCAGCTCCCCCCACCTGTTATCTCTAACTATTTTCTGTTTCCCCTTCTTTATTCTTCTATTTACTCCTCTTCCTTCCTTTACTAATCTAAAACATCAGTAAAAAAAAAAGTAGGGTAAGAGAAAAAAAAGGGGAAGGAGGGAGCTGAACGATAACTGCAATCCCATTCGGCAACAAGTTTACTACCATTGGATACAATATATTACTTGTAATATAAACACAAGACACACGTAAAACAGTCACAACAAATGTATTTATAACATATATGTAAGAATAAAACATAAATTACAGGCCATTTTGTAATTTTGTCTGTTCTGTTCAGGACAGTGTTACCAGATATTTTGTCTCAAACACAAACCATAGGTGTATAGTTATTCTTGTGGCCGACTGTACCTACAGTAAATACCATAACCAGTTTATATTCTATTATTTCAGAAATTTTAGGAATACTGTACTGTACTGTACTGTACTGCATGATGGTGTAAAATAACATAATAGTCAAACTCATATGTATTTCCTATAATATTTTTGATTGTGCAACATATTTAAATTTCTAAATAAAGCAAAAATATTTCTATGATTTTTGGCTACTGTATTACCAGCAATAAAGTAAATCTATAAAAAGTACAAAATTCTACTGCAAAATTTTCAGTGTGTTCATAATGCTGGTCTACTTGATTATTCTTAATATCTTAAGTGAAACCGACTTCTTCAATGTGTTTTATTCAACCTATGGGAGGATGAAATAATCTTAAGAGAATGGCAAAGCACAGCAAGACAAATCTGGATATCCTGAACTTTTCAAAGCCTCAAAATTTCAAAGTGTTTAGTTTACCAATAAAGTATACTGTACAGGTATCATAATACAGCATACTGTACAAGTACAGTGCAGTATTAGCTTTCTGATGCATGAAATTCTAAATATTGTATTCAGGATCAAAAACTGTTTCACCCTTTCACTTTCTGCTTTGAAAATGACCCGAAAACATGAGCATTTTCACAAAACATTTTTATTGTGAGTGTTATAATTTCTTGGCTATCTGGTAGATGTTTGTTTCCTCATTAAACTACACAAAAAAGTAAGTTTGGTTATCGTCATAAGAAAGCCAAGGCCATGATATTTTCAATTAGAATTCAAAATTGTAAAATATTTTTGTTTATGCAGTTCAACAGTCTGGTCACTAGGAAGCTTTTTCTCCCAGGTTTTCTGCTTTTTAATATAAATTACATTTTTTATTAACTGCAACTTTATGACCACAAAATCAAGTGCTGTACATTGAAGAAATTTTTTTCCCTTTGTTTGTCCTTATCTAGATAAAACTTATTTATTGAATAATGGCACTGGATTCTAATACAATACAGTACAGTATAGGTATCTCTTGTTTTGCAATGAGATTGCATAACTGAAAACTTAACGTTAGGTGAAATTATCAGGAAACAAGGAATAACAGCAAAGCACAGAGGGGAAACAACAGATTCAAATGGCAGGGTGGTAAACACTGAGTATAGTTCAATACTGTACTCCCTAATAACAATAAGCAAATTTGTTTCAATATGGTTTTGAAGTTAAATAACTGATTTATTAATACCAAACTTCTATACCGTATGCAAAAACGATGTGGTTTAGTTAAATACTTTAGTGCATATAAGATGAGCTTAATTCGAACAAATTTTAAATGGGATACATAAAAATTAACAAAACTGGTATAATAAACAGTAAAATTGACACAGCATATCATAAAATACAATAAAACAGCCAGTCCCCGGGTTACACATGAGATCCGTTCCTACGGACGTTCTTAAGTCAAAACACATACACTATGTGCATATTGTGGTTACTTACAGAACACTGTTTAAAATCCCATTACTGTGTATAGCAGAAGTCCTTATATAAAGGGTACATCTAAAATTACTTAATTTACAAGAAAAGATATAGAATGACAAAATATTGTACCATATAGTAAATGAAAGTAAAAATAAGTCATCTGGTAAAGGCAGTAGGCAGCTATCAAGCTGGGAGATACAGTACAGTACTACTGCCTGGGAAGATATTGAAAGCATAATGTGCTGTGTTGTCTAATGTGCCCGGATAGGCTAATCCCCATTTAAAGTTCAACTTTATGGGACCTTGTTTATATCAGCGGATGTTCATAAATCAGACGTACGTAACCCGAGGACCTCTTATTTTATGTACAAAAAATAGTCCTTTCCACACTCAAACCATGCTCTGGGCGACATGACACACTTCAGCCAGGCAGTCACCCACCTGACTCAAAGAGGTGTTTGCCTGCCACTGCACTAAGCTGTGTGGATGCCATGATTACAGTTTGATATAATATTTTCTTTATTTCTAAGCCACATTAGAGTACTACTGCATAATGATTTCTCCATAACTTTCATTACATGTAACAATGGCAATATGCTATCTCACAGGCCACTTCATCCTTAGTTTTTCCTCCTTCACAGGGAGTCAAGTTATTGCTAAACCGAATTTTGATATACTGTATGTTAAGTGAAAAAGAGCGTAAAAAAAATATATCGGTAAAATGAATTAATGTTTAGTGAATTAACATTAACAAGGAATACTTGTACTGTACAGTACTGCATGAACCTTTTGTAAGTGGTGAGTGCATACAACAATGGTTCTACCAGTAGTCAAGTTCTCTGGGAAAACACAGAAAGCCAACAGGTTTGTTTGGAGCAACAGACTCAAGCACGCACACACACACATCTTTCTGAACTGCTTGAAGCAGAGATTTACTCAGGTGCCTACTACCTGTGTCTGATCAAGCATGAGGAACCTGAAGGATCACAAGCTGTCAACTTATCTGCAAGAGGTGTTCTACCTGTTGAATGCACATGAGAATAAGATATGTGACAATGAGCAGCTTTAATTGTCCATTGGACCAGATGTTGTAGAGAAACCTGTAGAGTAGTTTGAGAATAATAGCATCGGTGACACGGAGGAACAATGCAGCACAGCAGATTATGATTTCATTTACAGGAGGACAGTACTGTACAGTAGTTTCATGTGAAGAAACATACTGTACATTCAAATACAAATTTAGATACAACACTCACTGCACGTGACATAAGAAAAAACAACAACAAAGGATTTTATTTTGACATGGTTCTGGGGCTTGAAAGCCTCAGATAACAAAAATGTGCTGTCTTTTTTAATTATTTAAGGAATTTAGTCACATTATATGAAGCCACTCTCCAAACTTTATATACCTGTACTGTAAATTGGACAGCACTGTATACTCCTTTAGTTTGTCAAGTATATTTATAGTCTGTACAATACTCCTCATCTTATAGGGTGGTGCCCATTGACAGTCTTGTTACATGAATAGCTTACAGCTATTTGTAAATCCGGACCAAAATAACAAGTCACACTGAAATTACATGACCATGTACAGGCAGTTCCCAATTTACAAAAAGAGTTCCATCCCTGAAAAAAAAACTTTTGTAAATCAATTTTTCAAAAATTGA